GCAACAAGAGTGAAACTCCAAGAGGGAGGGGGAGAGAGAGAGAGAGAGAATTTAATAAGTGGTGCCTATTTAATAAGTGGTGCTGGGAAAACTGGTTAATCATATGCAGAAAACTGAAACTATTCCTTCCTTATACCTTATACAAAAATTAACTCAAAAGAAAAGAAATCTAGAAGAAATGGATAAATTCCTGGACACATACACCCTTCCAAGACTAAACCAGGAAGAAGTTGAATCCCTGAATAGACCAATAACAAGTTATAAAATTGAGGCAGTTATTAATAGCCTACCAACCAAAAAAAGTCCACGACCAGAAGGATTCACAGATGGATTCTTCCAGAGGTACAAAGAGGAGGTGGCACCATTCCTTCTGAAGCTATTCCAAACAATAGAAAAAGAGAGACTACTCCCTAACTCATTTTGTGAGGCCAGCATCACCCTGATATTCAAAACCTGGCAGACACAACAACAACAAAAAACTTTCAGCCTAATATTCCTAATGAACACTGATGCAAAAATCCTCAATAAAATGCTGACAAACCAAATCCGGCAGCACATCAAAAAGCTTTTCCACTATAATCAAGTTGGCTTTCTCCCTGGGATACAATGGTGGTTCAACATACGCAAATCAATAAACATAATCCATCACATAAACAGAACCAATGAAAAAAAAACCACATGATTATCTCAATAGATGCAGAAAAGGCCTTCAACAAAATTCCCCATCCCTTCATGCTAAAAACTCTCATAAACTAGGTATTGATGGAACGTATCTCAAAATAATAAGAGCTATTTATGACAAACCCACAGCCAATATCATACTGAATTGGCAGAAGCTGCAAGTATTCCCTTTGAAAACCAGCACAAGACAAGGATGCCCTCTCTTACCACTCCTATTCAACATAGTATTGAAAGTTCTGGCCAGGGCAATCAGGCAAGAAAAAGAAATAAAAAGTATTCAAATAGGAAGTGAGGAAGTCAAATTTTCTGTTTACAGATGACATGATTGTATATTTAGAAAACCCCATCGTCTCAGCCTAAAAACTCCTTAAGCTGATAAGCAACTTCAGGAAAGTCTCAGGATACAAAATCAATGTCCAAAAATCACAAGCATTCGTATACACCAATAACAGACTAACAGAGCAAAATTTAGGAATACAACTTACAAGGAATGTGAAGGACCTCTTCAAGGAGAACTACAAAGCACTGAAGAGGACACAAACAGATGTAAAAAAATTCCATGCTCATGGATAGGAAGAATCAATATCATGAGCACAGCCATACTGTCCAAAGTCATTTATAGATTTAATGCTATTCCCATCAAGCTATTATTGACTTTCTTCACAGAACTAGAAAAAACTACTTTAAATTTCATATGGAACCAAAACAGAGCCCGTACAGCCAAGACAATCCCAAGCAAAAAGAACAAAGCTGGAGGCATCATGCTATCTGACTTCAAATTATGCTACAAGGCTACAGTAACCAAAACAGCATTGTACTGGTACCAAAACAGATATGTGGACCAATGGAACAGAACAGAGGTTTCAGAAATAACACCACACATATACAACCATTGGATCTTCGACAAACCTGACAAAAACAAGTAATTGGAAAAGGATTCCCTATTTAATAGTGGTGCTGGGAAAACTGGCTAACCAGTTTTGCAGAAAACTGAAACTGTACCCCTTCCTTATACCTTATACAAAAATTAACTCAATATGGATTACAGACTTTAATGTAAAGCCTAAAACCATAAAAACCTTAGAACAAAATCTAGGCAGTACCAGTCAGGACATAAGCATGGGCAAAGACTTCATGACTAAAACACCAAAAGCAACTGCAACAAAAGCCAAAATTGACAAATGTGATCTAGTTAAACTAAAGAGCTTCTGCACAGCAAAAGAATTTATCATCAGAATTAACAGACCACCTACAGAATGGGAGAATATTTTTGCAATCTATCCATCTGACAAAGTCTAATATCCAGAATCTACAAGGAATGTAAACGAATTTACAAAAACAAAACAACCCCATCAAAAAGTGGGCAAAAGATGTGAACAGACACTTCTCAAAGGAAGACATTTATGTGACCAAAAAACATATGAAAAAAAAGCTCATCATCACTGTTCATTAGAGAAAGGCAAATCAAAACCACAATGAGATACCATCTCACACCAGTTAGAATGGCTATCATTAAAAAGTCAGGAAACAACAGATGGTGGTGAGGATGTGGAGAAATAGGAACGTTTTTACACTGTTGGTGGGAGTGTAAACTAGTTCAACCATTGTAGAAGACAGTGTAGGTATTCCTCAAGGGTCTAGAACCAGACCATTTGACCCAACAATCCCATTACTGAGTACATACCCAAATGATTATAAATCATTCTGCTATAAAGATACATGTACATGTATGTTTACTACAACACTATTTACAATAGCAAACACTTGGAACCAACCCACATGCCCATCAATGATAGAATGGGTAAAGAAAATGTGGCACATATACACCATGAATACTATGCAGCCATAAAAAACAATGAGTTTATGTCCTTTTCAGGGACATGGATGAAGCTGGAAACCTTCATTCTCAACAAACTATAACAGAAACAGAAAGCCAAATACCGCATGTTCTCACTCATAAGCAGGAGTTGAACAATAAGAACACCTGGACACAGGGAGGGGAACATCACTTACCAGGGCCTGTCAGGGGGAAGGGGAGTAAGGGGAGGGACAGTAAGGGGAGGGAGAGCATTCGGACAAATACCTAATGCATGCAGGGCTTAAAACTTAGATGACAGGTTGATGGGTGGAGCAGACCACCATGGCACATGTAAACCCATGTAACAAACCTGCATGTTTTGCACATGTATCCCAGAACTTAAAGTATAATAAACAATTTTTTTAAAGTGTGCAGCACCTCCCCTCTCTCTCTGGCTTCTATTCCAGCCATGTGATGTGTGTGCTTCCTCTCTGCCTTCTGCCATGATTGTAAGTTTCCTGAGGCCTCCCCAGAAGCCAAGCTGATGCCAGCAGATTCAAGCAGACTCCTGTACAGCCTGTGGAATCGTGTGCCAATTAAACCTCTTTTCTTCATAAATTACCCAATCTCAGGTATTTCTTTATAGCAGCATGAGGACAGACCAATACATCTTCTTTACTGCATTTATAAGGGTAGGGAAGAAAACAATGAACATGCAAATACTGGAAAGAAAGGAAGTGTTAATAAAGGGTAGAAAAGGAAGCAGGAGTCCTAGATATAATTGTCAGACTTAGGTGTCTCAGGATCTTGGGCTTTGCCTGAGTTTCCACAACTGTAGTGAGTATCAGTGAATAATAGGCAACAAAGCCCAGAGACAGTGAGACATAATCAAGAGCTAACAGGAATGTAGGGGAAAATGAAGACAGAAACCGTTACTTTTCAATAGGAAGAAGATCCCAGAAAGCACCAGTAGGAAAGTGGAAATGTGAGACAGGAAGTGAGAACAGCCAACGCAGGTTGCATTAATAAGCACATTACCACTGTATATGGTGATAAGGATGTTTCCACTGTAGACAGCTGGGTCTCAGTCCTGTGGGGGACTCAGCAATTTGTATGTAGTACATCACAGAGTTGTATCACTTGGTGGACAACTTGATACCTAAGGAAGCTGGAGTATTTATCCATAAGTCCTAAATGACATTGATTGAAATCTGCTTCTAGGACATCAGCTCTGACAACATCACACTGCTGCATGCATTACCTACACATACTTTTGTAGTCAGATAAACCCTCTAACGGAGAGTTATAAGTGGCTGAAGTAAGACATCATATACATGCATAGAAACAGCAAATGTCAAGGAGATATTGAAGAGGCTCTGAAAGCATCTTTATGAAAGGTACATGTCAGGTATCAAAGACTTATTCAAAGCTAATCTACATGGCTTGGGATAGGATGAGGCTAGGCACCTCACTCTTAAGAAAACATTCGCTCCCAGGGTCATCTACCTACAGGACCTGCACTTGGGTGACCCTGAGAGTGAGTGCCTCCTTAAGCTGTGTGCCCTAGATGCCCTGCCTGCCTCACAATAGCCCCAGCCCTGCTGGCCTACTGCAAAAATGACAGGCTCCCTGTTTCAGCAATGATGAATTCAAACAGTGGGCATGCCAGGCATCCAGGAGACTCTGTGCCCCCAAAAAGGTGGGAAACAGTAAAAGTTGGGTCTCTTCTCTACCAGAAAAAAGTGGGCTGACATGAGAGAGGTTAAAAAGCAGTTCCTATCCAGTAGGGCAAGACTCAGGTTATTGTCTTCCCTATATAGTAAACTCCAGAAAGCCAACTCCAAAAAGTTTAAGTGAGTTAGGTGAGGTCCTATAGCTGGTTAATGATCTAACCGGATGTGCGGCCTGTTCCTCTGTCGCCTTCTCACTGCCCAATGATTCGCTTTTTTGCTGACCTCATGATGATCTTGAGAGAAGACAGAATAACTAGAACTGGTGATACCAACATAGATGACTAGACTAAGCCTCCTAATAAGGCTAATTTGAAGATAGTGCAAAGGTGTTCATTCTCAACATGCCAGCTCACCTTCAGGTCCTTCAATAGCTGGGAAAGCCCTCCTTTCTCAGAGGATGATGAGACTTTACCTCCAGATTTTTCAGGCAGGTTGGATCTAGGGCTGGCACTGGCCACATGAATGTCTAATTAATGAAGAGATGGTGAGAATAGTTATCATGTTATTTGCTCTGGGGCAAGAGGCTTTCTGGACCTATTTTATAAGGGGAACGTCCCTAAAGGGCAAAAGGTAACTGAAGATTAGCTCAGTAATCAATTCCAGAGGTACAGTCAGGCCTCAGAGACTACAACATCCCTCCCTTCTTGGGCCATGGCAAGATATTTGATATATCATGAGGCCCTGCTGGAGACACACCTCAGGCACAGCAGAAGGTAGAGTCAGTAGGAGAAATATTGCCAGCCCACAGCTCAATAGGAAATGTTTCTGTCTCTTTAAGTTGTCACCATGGGGCGCACCCTGAATTTCCTGATTTCTGAAGTCTGAGTGACTTCCTCTGTGTGCCGAGAGGAAAGAGGCTTCTGCACTCACAGCCGAAGGGAAAGCAGCAGGTTGGGGCATCTTGTGGCCAACTTCAGAGCCTGTCACCAGGAAAGGTGAGCGGTGAGTCTGAGCCTGGGAGCTGGCGGGAGCTGGGGATGCTCTGAAAACCAGAAAGAATGTGATTCCTAGAGTGTTTACTGCCTGAGCACTTGCATTCCACAAGGCATCATGTGGGAAGCAAGATCTGGATCAATCAAGGTCATGCTTCCAGGTTTTTAAGTTGGCAAAGTTCAGAGGAAATTTTAGTAGCGTCTTCTCCAGCTCTGGAGCACACACGTTCTTGGTGGGGAGTGAAATCTGTCTCCTCCCACATTCCCTTAACAAAGTAAGAGAAGAGTGTGCTGGAAGCACCTCTAGGAATAAAACACAGTTTGAAAGGCATCAGAGCTCAAGCTCCCCATTGAGCAAAGGCAAAAGATATTTCTGTGGCCCCATAAGCCATCTAACCTTGGAGTGAGTTACAATGTGATACGACTGGGTACATCTGAACTCTCTTCTCTCCTCCTCACTGTCCGCAGAAGGGGCCCCTGAGGCGACATCTGAGATAAATTGCTTGGTCTTCAACTCCTTTCCCTGCATGATCCCTTAAACATCTGCTCCCTTAATTCAAGTTTTTCCTGCTCCAGCCATGGGGACACCTGAAGTTCCTCATCTGTACAATAAAGGGGGTTACAAAAATGACGGATGTCCAAGTTCTGAACTGTGGACATCAGAAACTTGATTTGTGAATCAGAATCTCTGAGGATGGATCCAAGAAATGTACATTTTTAAAGAGCATTCAAGTGACTCTGAGAAACAGCACATTTGAGTGGTAAAGAACTCAATAAACTTTGAGGTCTCTTAAAGTATTAGGAATATAGGATTCCACGAGTGTACATTCCTCAATGATTAAGAGTCATCTGTCACCTCAGAGTTCATCTGGGTCTTACTGTATTCTTAAAAAAAAAAAAAAAAAAAAAAGAACTATTTAAAGTCATTTCAACCCCTGTTCCAAACTAGGGAAAATTCCAGTAGTCTATCTAGAGTTCTGCAGTTTCCCTGCAGTACACTTTCTCATTTTCTTAGTTAACAAGGACTTTTTGCTTCATCTAAATTCTTATTCTTTGCTCTGAATCTCACAGCTGCTTCTTCATTTCTGCTCTGATGTCAATTATGATCCTCTGTTTGTTCCTACCTGCAAAATAATTAATCACATAAGGCCCATGGAGTGAACTTTATTGAAGGCTTTGAGGAGGGCCAGCGGATGTCCTGCAGAAACAGAAACAGCTCTAGCTTTAAGACGAGGAAAACCTGTTCTCCAAGTATTTCAATCAAAGACAAGTTGCTCAGCCAGCCTCTCTCTCCGCCCTTCCTTCATGTGTGGTGCCAATGGGAGAGAATGGGTACTCAAGTGTCCAGGGTGCAAGACACAAAGAGGTGGAGTTTGACATGGTGAGGCACAGATAGGTCGGGAGGAGTAATAGTTCTAGGAGCGGAAGCCGAGTGGGTTGGAAAGGCCCTGGAATCTGCTGTTTGTGAAGTAGCTGACTGAGTGGGGGATTGCCTGGGAATGAGGCTGGAGACATAGATGCGGGGAGAAACGCATTTGTGTTCAGGAGCTTGTGTGATCAGGCAAACTGGATCACAGAGTGTTTAGCTCTATTACACAATGTTAGATTTCGGCATAATCAACTTATCTTTTTTTATTTTTTTGCTGGTGCTATTGTTCTTTATTATTTCTACTATATTTAGGGTTCATTGCATAACAGTTAAATTTAAAGTAAGTATAATGATCAGTAGATTCCTTATATGCCAATAATATATAGTCTGAATTTTTAAAAATCAAATTCAACTTTTTTGTCTTATTCATAAACACATAAAAATATAATCATTACTCATATTATCAGAAAAGCAACCCATAAATTCTATACTAACACATATTTAAAAAAACAAACTAAAAGAAAACATATCTTTCAAAGCCTCAGATTGGAGGGGGAAACAACTTCAGGAGCTGAGGGGTAGTGTTCAAGTCTCTCCAGCACAGAGATCATATTTAGACAGCTCTAGACAAACCAAGTTATTTGTTTAAAGAAAACAGAGTCAGGGTCCCTCCAGATCTACTTGGGAGATCTATTCAATTTCCAAAAGAAAAAAATCCCAATTTTCTTCTTGTTTTTTTCTCAGGCCAGCCGCTTGAAGGTGGGTGCCTAAGTCACTGGGTAAATTTTCTGGTTCTGAGGGTTTACCTAATCCTCCCCCAGCTACTGAATCCCTCGATATCTCTAGCTTATGTCAGTGATATAGAATCACCTGGGAAAAATTAACACCTAAAGCTTACCCACTGGCATTGGATAAATGTTATAACCTACGCTCTTCTTTTTGCTTTGGGAGTTCCTGAAAAGACAAATCCAAGCTCACCCAATGTTCTCACCACATCATACCAACTCAAGGGCAGAGTGTTGGCCCTTCCAATGCCATTCTCTCAAGTTCCGGTATAATCCTTACTTAAAAAAGGATTAGAACAATGTATTATATTGACGAAATTTACCTGTCTTCTCTCTAGCCATCTGCCCTTCTGCCAAAACAGACACTTAGATTTTTAGATCCTTGCAAGCAAAAACCATGTCTTTTCACTGTGCTGTCACCAGCTCTTTGGACTTTGCCTGACACAATGTAGGTGGTTATGCCTATTTGAGGAATAAATACATGAATTAACAAATTGTGTTTGGGACTCTTCTAGGTAAGCATGGGAGGAAGGAAGATGGCAAGAGATGAAGAAAATGTCTACGGTAAGACCATATCTCTGGACCTGATACTTGCCTCCCTAGGCTTGAGCTTAGGATAATAATGAGAATGGGGCTTCCTCAAGGCTGAACAGAGATAAGTTCCAAATGTGTCTCAACCCTGGAATGAAATAGCACCAGCCCTGAGATTTGCATTTTAGCTGGATCTCTGTTGTGAGATGTTAAGTTCTTTGACTAACCTGCTCCCTTGATTCCACAGTATAAGATAAGGGTAATAAGGCTACTCCAGTCTCCACTGAAGAAGTGCAGAGCATATCCAATCATGTACTAAAGTGAACATGATTTCCAAGGTAGAATGTTTAGAGAACAAAGATAGAGGGTTAAAACAGACATTCTTTTTAGGCAGCCCGTTTAAGAGAGAGGGAGGGGAGGAAGGAGGGAAAGAGGAAGAGAAAGAGGGAAGAAGGGAAGAGACCTTATCTCACCCCCTCAACAGGCCTCTGAGAAACAAGGATCTATCATCACTCCCACTTTTGCAGAAGAGGCTTAAAACTTAGATTACTTAACTTCTCCAAGGTTACACAACTAGCACATGGTGGGGCTGTGATTCAAACCAGGGAGTCTGGGACTCCAGACAGCTCTTCACTGCCAGGCAGTACTGCCCCCACTGCCTTTCTCTGGGGGTGGTCTTGGGAGAATATTTCAGAGTCCATCGAAAGTTTTAAATATAAAATAAATATATCTGTATGTGTGTGGATGACCAGAAATGTCAGATGAACGATTGGCCTGGACTGATAAAGGGGCATTTCTATGATAATTAGCTGTCTTTGGAGCACCTACAGGTGCAGGCAGACCACCCGAATACAAAAGGAAAAGGTGGAAATGAATCCGGGGGCTAAAGTCTCTCTTTTTTTTTTCTTTTTTTTTTTGAGATGGAGTTTCACTCTTGTTGCCCAGGCTGGAGGGCAATGGTGCGATCTCAAATCACCGCAAACTCTGCTTCCCAGGTTCAAAGGATTCTCCTGCCTCAGTCTCCCGAGTAGCTGGGATTACAGGCATGCGCCACCATGGCCGGCTAATTTTTGTACTTTTAGTACAAACTGGGTTTCTCCATGTTGATCATGCTGGTCTCGAACTCCCGACCTCAGGTGGTCCAGAAGCCTCGGCCTCCCAAAGTGGTTGAATTACAGGCTGAGCCACCGCGCCCAGCCTATTCTTAACTTTTTTTTTTTTTTCTAAGTTCCCAAGGGAAAGTTGGTTAGACTTAAGTAAAATTATAACACTTGGTCTCACAGGTTTAGAAGAGGACACCCAGTCCTGGCAGGAGCCCATGCTGAGGCTCATCCTTGTTGGGAGAACAGGGGCCGGGAAAAGCGCCACCGGGAACAGCATCCTGGGCCAGAGACGGTTCCTGTCCAGGCTGGGGGCCACGTCTGTGACCAGGGCCTGCACCACGGCCAGCCGCAGGTGGGACAAGTGGCACGTGGAAGTCGTGGACACTCCAGACATTTTCAGCTCCAAGGTGTCCAGGACAGATCCCTGTTGTGAGGAGAGAGGTCACTGCTACCTGCTCTCGGCCCCCGGGCCCCACGCGCTGCTCCTGGTGACCCAGCTGGGCCGGTTCACCGCCCAGGACCAGCAGGCCGTGAGGCAGGTGAGGGACATGTTCGGGGAGGGCGTCCTGAAGTGGATGGTCATCGTCTTCACCAGGAAGGAGGACCTGGCCGGGGGCTCCCTGCACGATTACGTGCGCGGCACAGAGAACCGGGCCCTGCGCGAGCTGGTGGCCCAGTGCGGGGGCCGGGTCTGTGCGTTTGACAACAGGGCCACCGGCCCGGAGCAGGAGGCCCAGGCGGAGCAGCTGCTGGGGCTGGTGGAGGGCCTGGTGCGGGAGCACGAGGGCGCCCACTACTCCAACGAGGTGTACGAGCTGGCGCAGCAGCTGCGCTGGGCGGACCCCGGGGAGCGGCTCCGGAGGGTGGCGGAGCGCGTGGCCGCCCGCGTGCGGAGGAGGCCGTGGAGCGCCTGGCTGCGGGCCGCGCTGGGGGCGTGGTCGAAGCCGTTTTGGAGCTGGAGCCTGTGCCTGGCCCTGCTGCTGGGAGGCGCGCTCCTGCTCTGCGTGCTGCTCCACGGGCGCCATTCGCAGGTCTTGCTGGAAATCAGGCCTGACTGACAGTGCAGGCCCTAAAACTGCAGGCAACTTGGTAAGAGAGCGGTTGAAGGAAAAAATTCATTCCAACAGAAGGAATCCTGTCGTTTCAGGCACAGTTTTAAGACACAGAAAACTGAACGCTGCATCATCTTTGCAACTTTAACAAGGCTCAGTTAACTTTTTATGTTTTTAAGTCTCATTTTAAACATTGCGTATGCAGAGTTTTAAAATAAATTCGTCTAACAATAACTTTCTTTGGTAGTTTTGGTAGTTTAATGTCAAGTAGCTTGTGGTGGGGACAAATCCATGGCACAGGGAAAACAAGTGCCTTTATTTTAGAACTTTTTAAAAAATTCAATTGAGACTGCTCCTCCTTGATAATTTTCTAGTTCTTATTCATTGGTAGATATGTTCCTTTGGGATTCTTGTAGGCTTTCAGCATCAATGAAAGAAATGTGGGGGTTACACATGTTAATTTTACTTCTGAGACATCAGTTTATTAGTACAATGATTTTCTACCAAAATGATAAATGTAACTGTGCTGAAAATAACAGTTTCCACTTTTCTAGAACATATTATGGTTCTTGGCTTTCCAAAATGAAGTAGGGTCCCAGCACAGTGGCTCAGCCTGTAATCCCAACACTTTGGGAGGCTTAGGTAGGCAGATCATCTAAGATCAGGAGTTCAAGACCAGCCTGGCCAACATGATGAAACCCTGTCTCTACTAAAAATACAAATATTAGCCTGGTGTGGTAGCCTTCGCCTGTGATCCCAGCCACTCGGAAGGCTGGGAAGGGAGAATCGTTTGATGCAGTGAGCCGAGATTGTGCCACTGCACTCCAGCCTGGGTGATAGAGTGAGACTTTGTCTCAAAAAAAAAAGAAAGAAAGAAAGAACTAAGATATTATGATATTGGGGAAATAACGTAATATCTTCTATATGGTCATTCATACTTTTATCACACACATGCACAGTCTATCTCAAGCTCCTCCCTGGTCATGGAGAAGAGGCAGAGCGCCAGGTGCATAGGCTGAGATTGCAGACACCAGAGCATCCTGTGCTGTGCAGCTAAAGCATCCAGGGCCTGTCCAGGAAGGTTCTTGAATGCCACATGATTAGAAAATGTGACACTGACTGACGCTGACTGGTTGTGCAAACCAAACAATAAGATTTCCTTATTTCTATTTCTGAACATAATGAGAGGCCTTTAAGGGAACTCAATGTCTTTAAATCAGCCAACCTCTAGTAAGGGCATGGAGACACAGGATGCAGATATTCACCTGAGCCCCAATCAAGGGGAGGAGGAGGAGGCGGCGGCAGCTGGAGTGTGCGCAGGTGCCCTAGAGTCCTTCCCAGCACACGTTGGGAAGGAGGGGTCTGCAAGCATGTGCAAGAATGCCAGGTCGGGCTAAAGACCACAGGAGGTTCCAGGTAGGCTGCGGGCTTCGGGCAGGCTATGGTCCGGGGCCCTAAGGGCCTTGGTGACCGCTGCAGGGAGTTGGACTTTTTGAAGCGTGGCTCAAGAAAAACCCATGTTTAATTCCTCCCTTTCACTTCCTCAGCAGCCATACTTGGCCCAAGCAGGGGCCTCGAGCCAGGAAGGGATTCCTTTAATGACCAGAGGGGGCAGCAGGGAGGGCACAGCGTGGTCATCCGAGGCCACTTGCGCACGAGCCACTGCTGCTGGTGGTGTTAGCAACTTTTATCAAAGCTGTTTACTGTACAGCAGCAGCAAAGGTATTGCTCTTTGTGGAACAGGGCTCCCCCATAGGCAGTGTGCCCAGAGTAGCAACGCGGAAGCAGTTTTGCAGCCATAGTTATACCCACTCTGAAATACATGCACATTAGGCGGTGGATTATGCCAACATTTCTAGAAAAAGGGTGGTAGCTTCCAGGTCGTGGGATTGTTGCCATGGAAAGGAGCTGTAACTTCCAGGTGTTACCTTAGCAATGATAACCTGACGTGACACTGGTGAGTGTGTTTTATGGACAGACTCTTTCACCTCCTCCCTTTCAAGCTAGTCTTCAATGTGTCTGGAGCCCAATCCCCACCATTAGAGTCGAGTCCTGCCTCCTGCCTCAGTAATATAAATATAAAGTAGCATGTGGTTAATTTGTCAAATACATTTGTAAAGTGCAATCAGAGATGTATTGTCAATCTGAATCTCAAAATATGCTATCATCTTTGAATTTGAATAATATATTATTCTAAAAGTTACAGTTTTCCTTTACGTTCAATAACATTTCTCTAGTGGTTTTCTTTTTCAGAAACTTTGATTATGATCTTTTTTTTTTCACCTTTGTATCCCTGTCATACAACCCAGTGCCTGGCATATAAAGTAGAGTCAGTAATTGTTTGGAAAATGAATGGTAAAGTTGACTTTCCTGTACCCTTTTAATATTAGGTTTCTAACTATAAGAGTTTTTACCATTTTCTAAGTTTTCTATCATAGATAACAAAAAATTCTTTCATGTAAGCACGCCATTGTATCAATGATATTCTCCTGCCCTAAGGAAATTTTCTTCCTTTCAAGCACAGAGTTCCCAAAATTACTGTATTTCTACCCCTTTCAGCTTATTTTATCCTTTTCTCCTGCTACAGAACAGCTGGCATTCACCATTTCATCCAGTAAAGTCGTTTTTTAGGCTATGGTTTGAAGGATGCTTTTCCTCCATAGCTCAGGGTTAGGCCTTATGACCTCACTTATGTAATTTGAGTGATTTGATAGCACAAATTAATTTTATATTTAAATTACAGCATAAAACAGCACTGCCTCCTGTAGGAAAAACTTTCTTGCTAATTTTAACCAGTCACAGGGTAAAAATACTGCCCAATACTTCAAAAATTGCATGAATATATATTCATTTCAATTATGTCCCCCTTCCTCTCGTCTCCTTTTATCTCTTTGAGTATAAAAAATGTATGGGTCATGTGCTGATGATGTTTCTCTTCATATTTCCATGCCTTGGTGCCTGGACCAGCTTTTGTTCTACACAAAAAGACTTGTATCTGGCTTATTTCTGAAAGCTAGTGTTGGCCATGATGAACTTTTAGAACAAAAGATTTCAGGCACTGTGTACATTCTTATTCTTACACAATCAATATTCAGTTCCAGCCACACCATAGCCCTGACAGACACCAGTGCTCCTTCCAGAGATTCACCTATGGATTGAGTATCCCCGAAGAGAATTCCTGTAAATTTTGGGTGAAGCTATAGCTAGACTATGGCTAAACACTCATTTATCCCCTGTGATTTTTAATCTAACAGTGGCAACGTTGGCCTATTCTTAGGCAACTAGATTTGTTCTTGCTACCAATAAAATATTTTATTGAGATGCCTCTAAATTTGTCCCCAGCCTCTTTATTTATTTAAGCAGTTATCACTCCATATACTGGATATTTTGTTATAATTATTGGTTTGAGTCTTATTTTTATATTTTCAATCACGTTCTTTGCCTAATTCTTCTCATATTTTCATATTTTCTTTCCCTCCTCATAATCCTCTTTACATATCACTGTTTAGGCACTTAGACTTTTTTTACTTTCAAATGGTGTTATATTGTGCATATACTCTTGATTTCATACACCTGAAGATTCCTAGACTATTTTTTCTGCTACATGTTAGCATGATGTGTCATGGTGAACACTGAAGAGAACTGCGTACCACTCCTCAAAAATTACACACACACACTTGCATGCATGTAAACACAGACACAAACATACTCACATCTCAATACCAAGAAATAAATAGATATCTCAATCCCAAGAAACACAAGGAACGAAAGACTTTCGGACTTCCAGTTCTGCAGAATTTCTTAGAAGGATCAACTCCAAGTTTTAAGCCCAAATTCCCAGAATTTGTCTCCAGTAGGCAGAGAAGGCCTTCTTCCTGAAAACTCACAGATTCTTTCTTGTGTTAAAGGATAATTCTCTGTAGAGAATTCTCTGTAGATCCCTCTGTGACAGCTTGCACATGAAGACCTAGATCAGAATTATCTCTGATGCTCAAAGAGTTAGGATTACTCAGAATCAGTGAGATCAACGGAGCATAGATCATATGGTAATGGTGGTTAGATAGTTAGTACAATACTCCCATAGAGAATAATGTCAAAACTCGAGATAAAATTAATAGTAAGCTTCAAAAGCCTAACAAGAGTGAGGAATTTCTATAACAAATCTAAGAAAAGTGAAAACCCAGAAAGCTAAGCCTGGTAAGGAGCCACTTTTGCCCTTAGAGTATTTACAGATCAAGTAGAAACAGCTTAAAAATGGAGCCACACCCTGGGGTTTGGTAATTTAATAGGATAATCAGGGTAAAAATAAAATCCACAATCAATCCAAAGTGAAGACTCTCATCCTCATCCTACTTTTAGAAAGGATCCCGCCTGTAATCTCAGCACTTTGGGAGGCTGAGGCAGGCAGGTCACCTAAAGTCAGGAGTTTGACATCAGGTGGGCCAACCTAATGAGACCATGTGTCAACTAAAAATACAAAACATTAGCCGGGCATGGTGGTGCATGCCTGTAATCCTGGCTACTCGGGAGGCTGAGGCAGGAGAATTGCTTGAACCCAGGAGGCAGAGGTTGCAGTGAGGCAAGATTGTGCCACTGCACTCTAGCCTGGGCAACAGAGTAAGACTGTCTGAAAAAAAAAAAAAATCCCAAAGTGTTAAATTATCAAATGTAAATCATCTCCTTCCTGTAGACTTGCAGTGTGAGTGTCCTGAGACTTTATTAAAGTGATCTTTCTCCAAAAGTGTCTCAAGATTTGGCATTAAAAAGGAATTCTACCTGGAAGTTGACACTAACATTTTGGGCCTTCAATTTTCCTTTGAACACTTCTTTGTAAATGTCATATCTAACACTCAGAGAAAACCAACCACCTAAAGAAACATGATGCAATGAGAAAACCAAACAAAAAGTAACAGAAACAAGTAAGCAAGGACTTGAGATACTATAATAATCAGATATAAGTATAAAGTAAGTATACTTATTTTACTTATGGTCTGAGGGCTACCTGTCCCTCTACCTGCTTCTGCCTCCGTTAAATTTTTTGTACGTCTAATCCAGTTTTGGTGTTTCCTCCATCACAAACCTGAACTTATATATAACTGAAATTAACAACTCAGTAGACAGATTTAACGGATTAGACAGTGCTGAAGAGAGAACCAGGATAGAAGAAAATCCAGAATGCAGCTCAGAGATACCAAATAGATAGGCAATGTGGAGAGAGGGTAAGAAATATAGAGAAAAGAATGAGAAGTTTTAACATATTAATCATTCTGACGGAATAGAAAAACATTCACAGAGACAAGACAAAAAAAAGGGATAGAAAAACAGGAGTTAAGACAATATCTGAAAACATGAGAATTTTCCAGAACAGATAAAATATATCAGTCTGCTAATTCAATTAAGCTAATAAACTTAAAGCAGAAAAAAGGGATATTATATTTAAAGGAGTAAAAATTGGACTGTCAAATGACTTCTAAAAAGAGGCAAAAAAAAAAAAAACACCTCTGTGTTCTGTACAAGACTTCTATTATACATATACAAGTAACACCCTGAATTCTGTGATAGTTAGTTTCATGTGTCAGCTTGATTGAACTAAGGGATGCCTAGATGGCTAGTAAGATATTATTTCTGTGTGTGCTTGTGAGAGTGTTTCCAGAAGCGATTAGAATTTGACTCTGCAGATTCAAAAGAGTAGAGTTCTGCCATCACCAGTATGGGCAGACATCATCTAGTCTGCTGAAGTTCCAAAAAGAACAAAAAGGCAGTGAAGGGAAAATTCACTCTCTCTTCTTGAGCTGGGACATCCGTCTTCTTTTCCCTTCAAACCTTGGAGCTCCTGGTTCACAAACCTTTGGACTATTGAACTTACACCAGCAACCTCCCACACACACATCTGGCTCTTGGACCTTTGGCCTCAAACTGGGAGAGTTACATCATCAGCTACCCTAGTTTTCAGGCCTTCAAACTCAGATTGGATTATGCCATCAGCTTTCCTAGTTTTCCAGCTTGTAGACAGCATATTATGGGGCTTCTCAGCCTCCATAATCATGTCAACCAATTACATTACACACACACACACACACACACACACACACACACACACACACACACACACACAATGGGTTCTATATTTTTGGAGAATCCTCACGAATACAGGTGCCATTAGGAAGAAGGTCAGTATCACTGAGAGAGCCCAGCGCCCAAGGCCCAGGCACATAGGCCATGCCTAAGACTGAAGCTGTGTAAGAACAGCAAAGAACACTGCCCTGCCCTTGCCATACACCTAAAAAATACTGAGTGATTAATAAGCAATCCAGTCTACTATAGGGAAAGGTCAAAGCCTGGAACAACCCCCTATGAAATGGAGTTATGCAGAGATGACTGAAATCTGAGGGTGACTGGAACAGGAATACCAAGTAAAGCCCTATGGCATTTCAGTCCCAACTTAAGCATCAGGCAACATTAAACAAATTAAAAACCTAAGATGCACTGAAGGTAACTATAGCAACAACCCCAACCCAGTTCAACTCTTGATTAGATTGACTCAGCTGAACACTAAGAGCCTGACAGAAGAAGAGGCATAACCATTCTAGGCATAAATACTATTTATCTCAATTTACTTTCCTACTATGCATATTTACAATTTAATAAAATTATAATATATTCAGAAAAGCAAAAGTACAATAATCCACTATGAAAAGACAAAAACAATCCACAGAACCAGACTCAGAAATTATCCAGAAGTGGGACAGTGTCTTTAAAATAATTATGATTACTATGCTAAATGATGAAGTGAAAAATGTAGACAACATGTAACAAAATACTAGGCATTTCAACAGAGAGACAGAAACTATAAGAGTCAAATGTAACTTAAAAATTAAAAACATTCTATTAGAAATAAAGTATTCCTTAGGGGTTACATCAGTAGACTTGACACCGTTGAGGAAGGAATCAGTGAATTGGAAAATAAGTTAATAGAAATTGTTCAAACTGAGTAAAGGGAGAAAAACAAATGAGGGAAAAAATATCTAGGAGGTATGAAATTATATAAAGCAGTTTAACATACATGTCAAAAAGAGAGAATGAACAGAAGAAATATTTGAAAAGGTAGTAGTTAAGACTTTTCAAAAAATAATGAAAGACACCTAACTACATACCCAAGAAACAGAGTGCTCCAACCAGGGTAAACACATAACAAAGCAAAATAGAAAAGCTAGACATTTTATACTTAAACTGTTGAGAACCAGTGATAAAGAGGAAGTCTTAAATGTAACTGGGGGAAAAAACATTATAATAGAAAAATAAATATTAGAATCACAGCTGATTTTTTGTCAAAAACTACAATTCAGGACACAATTGAATAGCATTTTTATAATACTGAAATTTTTTTTAAAAAACTATTAACCCAGAAATGTATAGCCAGCAAAAATCTTTCAAATATGATGGTAAATAAAAATGTTAGTTGTTAGTTAGAAATAAAGACTGTGACTAACAAAAGCTAAAACAATTAATTATCAGCTTATCTTCACTACAAGAAATGTTAAAAGAAGTTTTTCAGGCAGAAGGAATAAATATGACACCAGATAGAAATTTGAATCTACACAAAGAAATGAAAAACCCTAGAAATGGAAAAAATAAATACAAATATAAAAGGAATTTTACATTTTTTAGCTCTAACAAAAAAGTAATAGTGTATTAGGGAAGTTATAAAATATGTAAAAGTTTACAACAATCATAACACGAAAAGGAAGGATGAATTGCAAGTACACTATCATAACTCTTAAAATACATGTGAAATGGCCTGAAATTTTTATAGACTGTAATAAATGGTCTAAAATCCACGTAGATTTGTTAAAACCACAAGATTCAGCCATATGCTATCTACAAGAAATGCACTTTAAATATAATGACTGAATTGGTTATCTATTGCTGCGTAACAAATTACCACAAATGTGACAACTTACTACAACATGCAATTATTATCTCACAGTTTCTGTGGATCAAGGGTTTATATTGTTGGGATATTTGGCCCCTCATTTCTCATGTTGAAATGTAATTCATGGTGTTAGAGGCAGGACCTGGTGAGAGGTGTTTGGGTAACGGGAGTGGATCCTTCATAGATGGGTTGCTGCTGTCCTCACTGCAGTGAGTGAGATCTGGTCATATGGAAGTGTGTAGCACCTCCCCAACCTGTTGCTCTTACTCTCTTCCAGTGATATGCAGGCTCCCCTTTGTATTCCACCATGATTGGAAGCTTTCTGAGTCCCTCAACAGAAGCAGATGCCAGCAATGTGCTTCCTGCACAGTCTGCAAATTGTCAGTCTTATGTATTTC